CTTCAGACATGCATGACCTATTGTAGCCTCCACAATCATTCTCACAACACTCATGAAGCTATAGCTTAGCTTCAGAGGAATTTTCCCTAAAATGATTTTGGGGTTCACTATATAAAGTCTTAGGTGTTAAAAAGTATTCGATGCCAGGTGGGAACTATTTTTTTTTTGCCTGAACGGATGCTAGTGGTGATCATAAGTTTTTGAGATGTCTGGTATTCTGGGGACTGAAACAGCCATGTTGCAAGCACCTGATCTAAGAAATGCATAATTAAGAAAATGAACATTGGCTTTGTTATGTACATGTACTGAGATGGTACTTCAGTGGGTAGGACAACCAGGAGATATCTGGATCTAAGTCTGTTATAGGAAATGTAAACATTACAGTCACTCCTCCAAATCTGTAGGGGGCTGGTCCCAGGGCCCCTCAGGAAAACAGAACCCTTGGGTGCTCAAGGCCTTTGAACAAAGTGATATGTTCTATGCATAGACACTATGCACATTCTTCCCTACACGTTCAGTCACCACGAGGGTGCTTACACTGCTTAAGACAATTCTACATCCGTCTCTCTTGCTCTGCTATAATCAGGGAAGCAATGCTAGGGACAGAGACAGAAGTGTTTGGCATTCTTGATGGTGGCTGAAATCATGGATTCAGAATACGCAGATATAGAAGGCAGGCTGCACTTGTTTGCAAACATATGAGGAAGCATCTTTAAATGTTTAGAAAAGGACAAAACAAAGCAGGGACCAGCTCAGTTTTGGAGGATTGTTGTTAAGTCATTTGATCCCCAACCTGTTGAGTTTAAACTATGTAGCAGACGGAGAAGCCTTTCTTACCTGTAGTAACTATTATTGACTCACCCCATGTAGCGTGTTCCCTTGGCTGGGAGAGCCCTTTACAGATGTGAAGAGTGAAGTAGTCTTAACTTTGGTCCTAACTGAATAGACCAAGCAAAGCAGTTTATATTTGCCTTAATTACCACATAGGACCTTTACTAGCTTCCTATAAGCTTTAACTTCTAAGCTTTAGGTTCTAGCCAAAACAACTTTCAACTTTCCTTATTTTGGATGTGTAGTGTGTGTGTGTGCATGTGTGTGTGTATAAGTATTTACTAGCTCACATAACATAATCTTAAAAACCTGGGAAACTTTTTAATGACCAATAAGAGCTCAGTTAAGATTTCAGCACTGATTTACATAAGGTTCATTAAGGCTGGAATTTTATTGCAAGAAAAGTCGTGGAAAGGTTGAAAAGTCCATCCTAAGCGCTCCATTAGCATTCAGCTCTTGGGCCGTGCTTACATGGAGAACATGGATCCCTGGTACTGCATTACTCTTGTCCATGACGGGCCACCTGTAGGGAGCTTGGGAAAACTGAGTGTCAGCCTTCTGCTTCTGTCCTTCCTATTTCCAAACACCTTTCTGTAAACTTATGTTCTAAAGCTCCAAATTAACCATCTACCAGCACAAACAGAACTCAACATTTCAGTGTATGCTTAGTTAAGCGTTATGTTTACCTCTAGTCAATTTTTACTACTTTTCATGTGGAGACTCATGTGCTTTTGAATCCTAAAAGAAAAAAATAACCTTCAAAACAGTTGCCAAACCGTGAACAGATCAAGATGCTCAGTGCCTTAAGGGCATTTAAGTGACAGAATAGAAGTACATCATGTGGGACCCATTGCAATTCTTCAAGTTTCAAATAAAATTTTCTGTTTGGTATCTAAGATTAAAATGGCCGAGGAGGCAGAGGCGTTGTTAGTTTTGTTTCCTAGCCCTTTGGATAGAGTGGACCACTGCTTCCTAGCCGTGTTAAGATGATCTGATGTGAAATGGGATTACTGGTCCCTTGCTTCCATGGTTTCCAGATGTGGCGATATGTAGAGCTACAATGCACACAAAACATCTTTTGCTGCAGCAACTGACTGACTACCAGGTCAAGTAGTCTGGAACAGTGCTGTTCTGTGGACATTTACCCTCAGGTTCCCACCCGGAACATGAAAATGGTTTGTTGTTAAGGACAAGCATTTCCATGTTGGAAGAATCAATAGAAGTTTGCAGTTAACTCAGCTGATGCAAAAATGAAGATGCCTGGGTGTCATATAAAGAAATGAAATTCTATTTTCATCCATGCATGAAAAAGGTAACATCTAGTAATGAAATAAGGGTTACTGCAGGAAATGGGAACTTCTAGAAAATGAAAAATTTGGGGGGCTTTATGTTTTATCTTAAGGCATATGTTGGCTAATTGGGGGCAGTGTTGGCTGGGTCTAGAGTAAATTTATTATCGCTGTCCTCCACCCTGTGTCTGAGACGCCCATGGTGGAACTGTCTAGGCTTTGATGAGACACTGCCCTTTAATTTCACTAGTGTGTGAAATACCTGCTTGGTTTTTCTCTGTCAAGCAGGATGTGGTTTAAAGGAGAGACAGTCACAGTTTTCAGTGTGAGCCACAGTGGTCTGGAAGCTGGAATCTTCCTTCAAACAGAGTCTACTCATTTGGAGTGCTTCTAAGAGTGAGGAACACAGTAGCACCTTTGAAATGCAGGTCCTTCAGACCACTATCCCCAAGCGTTCTGCAGCTCTGCACGTGGGCGAAAGAAACAGAGGCCAGGGCAGTCTAGAGTAGGACTGAGCTTGTGTGTGCTGCACAAGCCCCTCTAAATACCTAAGGAGGGCTGGTGTCTAAGGAGGGATGCATTTCTCATTCTTCCTGGTGTATCGAGCTCTCCTCAAAGATCCTGCTTTAGAGCCCACAGCTTTGCCGCTGGGCAATGGGTAGGCATCTCTCCTGTTTCGTGAAATACAGTGGTTATCCTGTAAATTCAGACTGTCATAGGTATTTGAATTTTACTTGGAAACTGGCATTGAAACTCTCCGGGGACATGTGCTGGTTCTTTCAGGGTTGTGGTCAGCCTGGCCGAGTTTACGCAGGAGGCGATGACTGTCTACTGGCATGGATGTCTTATGTGTAAAAGTCTAAATATGGAGACATTTTGAGGGAAGAGGCAGCTATGGAGCTGATCTCAGGTAACAGAGCGTCAGTTCTGCCATAGCAAATCCTTGTAGGTTCTAACCCTTGAGAAAAAAACTGACTAGAAAATTTGGCTCTCTCCATAACTTTTGAAATGTGAGAGGTTACAACTCTTACTGGGAATTCTAGACTTACAGTGTTTGTGAATGTGTGTGTTGCTTTCCCCTCTGTCTTGAGCACTGTAGACACCTCCAGAGTGGGCCTGCCGAAGGCGGGAGATTCAGGGACACCAGTGCACGGAAGGCAAAACTCCCCCGACAGAGGGGATGTTTCGTTTAAGCCATCATCTTCAGCCTAGTCTCCACACGTATTTGCCATTTCAGTTTCTGAAACCGAATTTTCAAACAAGAGGCCAAATGACTTACATAGTGACTGTCAAACCAGTGGTTCACTAGCTGAAACCTCAGGAGGAAAGAGTGGCGGTCTCTCACACACACAGACGGCCATCATTACCCTTTCAACTGAGCGGTTGTGCCTGTTTCCACACTCAACATCACACGCAACGGCATTAGGAAGTATCAGCCAAAACGTCTAGTTCAGTGTCTCTGCTTTCTTCCACAGCCGTCACCTTTCCTGAAGTACGTCTAAGAACCTGTGTGAAATCGCTGCTTTTATATATGCTACTTATATAACATTTTACTTTTTCTATGTCATCATACAGTACATATATGAGAAACTACTGACTGGATAAAACGAATTCAGCTTTGGGAGAGCAAAGAAAGCACAGGGGGGTTGTACGGTGAAGGCTGTAATAACGCCTAACGCCGAGATACTGCTGAGGAGAGCAATGGTCTGTGTGTTGCCAACAGAGCACATCTCAGCAGGGTCGTGGACCGGAAGTGCAGGGGAACATCCGGTCATAGCAAAGAACTAATATCAAGAAGCAAATATCTAGTGTTATGAAAATATCAAAAGAGAATTGATTTTTTGGGGGGAGGCTATGTATCTTTGGGATTTTGCTATGTATCCATTTTCCAAAGTATAAAATAACTTTTTTGGTCATCAAAACGTGTAATTGAAGATAACCATTACCCATTTTTTTGCATCTAAAGTCGATTTGGCTTGAATGTTAATGTTCATGATTAAATGCTGTCTACGTTATTTCACGCTCTGGAATACATTTTCAAAACAAAGGCCTATCCATGGGTATATGTCTTTGTTTGCAGGATGAAGAAGGTTACTGAACCCCTAACAATTAAAAAAAAAGCTACACTCATCATCTGAGGCAGACCTGATCCTGTCAAACACAGCTCTTACAGAAACTATAACTTGAAACGCGACTGGGTCCAGGAACCCAGCGTACAAATACAGCTGATGCCATAAGGTTATGCCTTTTTGAGATTAAGAGACAAACAGAGGCTGTGGCCTCAGCAACAAGTTTTAAAAGTCACGTTTCCTGTTTTCTCCCCATGGATGGAAACTCGTGGCTGATATGTAAGAGCACCTCCCAGGCAGGAAGAAAGGGTGCCAGGAGGAGGGATGCTTGGCTCGCTAGGCACAGCAGCACTGAGCACGCAGACCTCACGGAGGAAGGGACCCGAAGCAGCTGACTGCCCTTCAAGCTGGATCTCAGAGTGGGGTCAGCACAGGGCATCTCCGCTAAGGGAGATACGGCACACAGAGGCACTGGTGCCAAGGACCACAGAGGGATCACACGTAAGGGGGAGGGCCTCAGAGAACCTCTGGTATTTGTTTGCGTGTTTTACGGGTGTCTTTGCATGGTGACTGGCAATTTCTGGTATCCAAGAAGGCCATCCATAGATTTCAAACTACAGGTTGAAGAGGGGATCAGCAAGAATATCACTTTAAAATGCAATTGCTGTGTGTGTGTGTGTGTGTGTGTGTGTTTGTGCGCCCACACATGCGCGTGTGAGCGTGTGTGAGTGAAATATTTATAAGGAATACCTTCCCGGTACTTCCCACGCTGCTAACAGGTAACAGAACAAACTCGAGTGGTGTCCTTCCCTGGTATGTTTTTGTTCGTCACTACTTGTCTGCAGGTGGGGGTGGGGTGGGGACAGGGAAAACGTAAATCAAGTACTCCAGTCCAGAGCAGTGACTTAAAGGTTCAGGTATCCAACCTAATAGACCAGGTTGAACAGCAGGAAGGACGTAGGGAAGAAGACACAGGAGTACGAGTCCAGCTCCGAGACGTCGATGTGGATGCGGCCTCTCCTCCAGGAGCCCGACTTGCACTCTTCGTAGCAGCAAAAGAAGCTCTGGCAGTCTTTGCCATCCAGACACTCGTAGACACAGGGGTCCTCAAACTCCTGCCAGTACACGGAATTGTTTAGTGTGATCATCACCGGTGGCAGAGCCCTCATGTCCAGGAGGGAATAGTTCTGCAGGCACAAGAACAACACAGTGAGCCGTGAACAGCCCGAGGCACACCTAGTATCGAGTGCATCTTCATGTCTGCTTCCAGACTAGAGGGATGCAGGCCTTTCCCTTCCCACGTTTACATAGCCCTGGACACAACCTGCTCTTTGCACCGTTGCAGCTCAGTGAACAAGATTAAAACCATGTTGCAGTTTTGAAACTTTGTGACCCAGATTTGGGGGGGAGGAGCGGGAGGGCCATTTCAAAAATGCCTTAGCCATTTCGAGTCTCAATTCTGTTACCTTGTAGCAACAAACGTACAAGCTACATATTTGTTCCTTATAGTTAGAGCACACTGACATTAGAGCACCAGTAAACACCCTAGCAAACAGTAATTAGCAAACAGTAACTAGCAAACAGTAACTAGCAAACAGTAACTAGCAAACAGTAACTAGCAAACAGTAACTAGCAAACAGTAACTAGCAAACAGTAACTAGCAAACAGTAACTAGCAAACAGTAACTAGCAAACAGTAACTAGCAAACAGTAACTAGCAAACAGTAATGGGTGATAGGCATTCAAATGGCCAGGCAGCTCTGTTACTGCCTGTAACCCAGGCAAAGAGAGCTTGAACACATGTGACTGGAATACTCTATTCCCAAGCTGTCTTCCTGCCTCAGAAAAGTCAGTGTGGGAGGAAAGGGGAGTTAAAGACTCGCTGCTCTTTCAGAACTGAGAGGCATCATCCAGCTTGCAAAGAGCCTTTCAGTGGAAGGTTTTCAGACAGTTGTCAACGCCTCAAGGGCTATTAAGCACACTCTGCACTCAGAGTTCTTCCATGAAGCCATGGAAGCCTTGCACACAGGAAGCATGTGTGCCCATGTATGTTGAGTCCAGCTGTAAGCAGGATGCTTAGCATCCAGTGTCCACTAGTAGCCTTCAGTGTACCACTGTGTAGCAGAATCCACAGCTCTGGGGCACAAGCAGAGTGGAAGACTCACCATGCCCAGCTCTGGTGAGGATATGCACCATCTACCCTCATGACTATGAAGCCCAAGCGTATATCAAAACCCACCAGAGATGTCTCTGTCAATTATCCAGTGTATCTGAAGGATAAATGTCCTTCCGACAAGCTCCATTTGGGAAAATCTATCTTAATTAGACAATAATTTTATTTTTTTGCCTTCATACTCTTTTTCTCTTAGAAAATTTTAATTTAAATTAGAAACAATCTTGTTTTACATGTCAATTCCAGTTCCCTTTCCCTCTCCTCCTCCCTTGACCCCCAGTGATCCCTTATCCCATCCCCTTTCTGCTCCCCAGGGAGGGTGAGGCCTTCCATGGGGCATCTTCAAAGTCTGTCATATCATTTGGAGCAGGACCTAGGCCCTCCTCCATGTGTCTAGGCTGAGAGTGTCCCTGTGTGTGGAGTGGGCTCTCAAAGTCCATTCATATAATACGAATAAATACTGTTCCACCCCTTTTTCTCTGAGTTAAAAAAATTTCCATCCCCCATCTTTCAGCAGAATCAGTCCTACACCAAAGACATTGGTATTTTCCTCAGCACCCAGGTTGTGCGTGAAGACTGCTCAGGGGTTGGTTCTCGGGGCTGTTAGTCCTGATTGGTGGCTGTCACCCTGCGCCTCACAAATCCATAACCTTGTCTAACACTCATTGGAAGCATTTGCTGCTGGCTTCTCGGGGATGACAAGATGATTGCCCAATACTCTTCTGACAAAAGCCCCATGATAAAGATTATGTTTTTTTTCTCATAAAAACATGGTTGAGCAGTTCTTCACAGACCTTGAAAGAACAATAATCAATTTTGTATGGAAAACCAAAAGACCCAGGATAGCCAAAACAACCCTGTTCAACAAGGCAACGTCCGGAGGCATCACCATCCCTGACCTCAAGCTCTATTATAGAGCTATAGTCCTGAAAACAGCTTGGTATTGGCACAAAAATAGACAGGTAGACCAATGGAATTGAATTGAAAACTCGGGTATTAACCCACACACGTACGAACATCTGATCTTTGACAAAGAAGCTAAAAATATACAATGGAATAAAGAAAGCATCTTCAACAAATGGTGCTGGCATAATTGGAGACTGGCATGTAGAAGAATGCAGATCGATCCATGTCTATCGCCATGCACAAAACTTAAGTCCAAATGGATCAAAGACCTCAACATAAATCCAGCCACACTGAACCTCTTAGAAGAGAAAGTGGGTGGTACCTTTGAATGAATTGGTACAGAAGACAGCTTCCTGAACATAACACCAGTAGCACAGGCAGTAAGATCAACAATTAATAAATGGGACCTACTGAAACTGAGAAGCTTCTGTAAGGCAAAGGACACAGTCAGCAAGACAAAAAGGCAGCCCACAGAATGGGAAAAATTATTCACTAATCCCACATCTGACAGAGGGTTGATCTCCAAAATTTACAAAGAACTAAAGAAGCAAGTCTCCAAAACACCAAAGGACCCTATTAAAAAGTGGGCTGCAGAACTAAATAGAGAGTTTTCAATAGAGGAGTCTAAAATGGCTGAGAGGCACTTGAGAAAGTGCTCAACATCCTTAGCCATCCGGGAAATGCAAATCAAAAGAACTCTCAGATACCATCTCACCCCTGTCAGAATGGCTAAAATCAAAAACACCAATGACAATTTATGCTGGAGAGGATGTGGTGAAAGGGGGACACTCCTCCATTGCTGGTGGGAGTGCCAACTGGTTCAGCCACTTTGGAAATCAGTGTGGAGATTCCTCAGAAAAATGGGAATAAACCTACCACAAGACCCAGCAACTCCACTCTTAGGCATATATCCAAAAGATGCCCATTCATACAACAAAGATGTCTGTTCCACTACGTTCATAGCAGCTTTATTTGTAATTGCCAGAACGTGGAAGCAACCTAGATGTCCCTCACCTGAAGAGTGGATAGAGAAAATGTGGTACATCTACACAATGGAGTACTATTCAGCAGAAAAAAATAATGGAATCATGAGATCTGCAGGCAAATGGATGACACTAGAAGAAACCATCCTGAGTGAGGTAACCCAGTCACAAAAAGAGAAACATGGCATGTACTCTCTCATATATGGATTTTAGACATAGATCTGGGGAGTGCCAGCCTACAATCCTATGGCCAGAGAGTCTGGGAAACAGAAACTTTATTTAGTGGCTGATTGAAGAAGAGGCAGACTCCCTTGGTTAAGTACTGAGCTGAACTCAAGAAAGCCAGTAACAGAGAGGGAGGACTGATGATCAAAGGGATTAAGACTGGGCTGGTTTAACCACCAGAAACAGCTGACCAGACAAAGGTTAACTCTTGAATCCCAGGCATTAGCCTGGGAAGCCAGCATGGGACTGATCAAGACCCCCTGAATCTGGGTGTCAGTGAAGAGGCCTAGGTAATCTATTGAGCCTTGGACAGCAGATCAGTACCCATCCCAAGTATACACACGGACTTTGGACTCCAATAGAACAATGTGAGTTGCACTCTCACCCTGAACTCTTGGGAAAGGGTCTAGGCCCTGCCCTATATGAAATGACACACTATGGACACCCCCATGGAGGGCCTCACCCTCCCTGGAGAAATGAGGGGATAACGGGAGGGGGGGAGGGCACGGGAGGAAGGGAGGGAATGGGAGAGGGACCTGGAACTGACTTGTGAAGCAACCTTGATTCTTATCTAAATTTAAACTGGAAAATAAAATTTAAAAAAACATGGTTGAGATGCACAAAATGTAAGGCTCTACTAAGCACTGGGAACCAGCCACGATGTTCAGGTGGCAGGAAACATTCAGTGTAATTAGCGAGCAGCTATAAATAGAGGAATAAAAGTCATGACTCCATACAAACACAGCACGTGACAAAAAAATGGTACTCAGGTCAGTGGTTTTAAATGACATTCCTTAAAATTTCATTCCAATTTTCATTCTTAACAGCAACTGTTGGGGTTTGATTTCACTACACTCAGTTTCACTCGCTGTGAGCATAAAACGAGCTGATATCTAGTCGTATACTATGTCAGAAGTGCTCAAAAGACAGTGAGGGGGTCGTGTTATTTGTGAGGGAAGAAGGACATGCAAGCAGGGTATTCAGGACACAAACAATGGCGGGGAGGGATAAAGAAAAGGAAAAGACAAAAAACCAGTTCATGACAGTGAAGTGAGAGCTAGAATAAATATCACATCACAAACCAAAGGCTGATATCCCCAATATATTCAAAATGTAACTGTAGGCACTTCAGATGGTCTATAAAATGCAACAACAATTAACAGAAAGGCCTGGAAGATTGCTACTTAAAACATAAAAGAAGTTTGGGTTGGAGAGATAACTCAGCAAAGGCCATTGAGTTTCTCAGTGTGCATAAATGAAAATACCAATGGACCAGTTTTCACAGTTTCCCCCCTTTTCATTTCTCTGTTGCTACTATTTCATTTTGGGAGTTCACGTCACACACAGTTATTAATACTCAGAACATACGATCAAGTTTCACTTTGTGTTTCATTTGTTCAGTATTCTTTTTTTTTTTTTTTTTGCTTTTTCAAGACAGGGTTTCTCTATATTGTTTTGGAGGCTGTCCTGGAACTCGCTCTGTAGACCAGGCTCGCCTCGAACTCACAGAGACCTGCCTGCTGTCTTCTTTAAAAAAAAATAAATTATTTTATGTGCATTGGTCCGAAGGTGTCAGGTCCTCGGGAACTGGAATTACAGACAGCTGTGAGCTGCCATGTGGGTGCTGGGAATTGAACCCGGGTTCTCTGGAAGAGCAGATAGTGCTTTTAACGACTGAGCCATCTCTCCAGCCCACAGTTTGCCTCCTTATGTCTTATTTTCCTTCCTGCTGTTCTGTAACTTACCTCAACCATTTGTTCTGTTCTTTCTCGATTTTTTTGAGATCTTAAAGGCGCTTGTTGGCACCGACCGTTCCTATGACATCTTTGAGTGACCATCACACTGTACAGTGTGTGAAGGGGTTATTCAACTAGTGTGTATACAGGATTTACCCCCATTTCCACAAAATGTATACACCTTATTGGTTTTTTTCCTTTTCTGCTGTCATAATGTAGCTGTCATAGACAACTTCTTTAATCAGTTAAGGCTTCTTTCAGGCTATGTTAGGTCCCGAGTGCTTGTAGACTTTAAGTTGAGAGTCTGTTTCCCTCTATGATTTCAACAAGAACCCACTATCA